CTTGTTTTGTTTGTCAGTTTATTTCTATATTTGGCTGACTAGTTCAATTCTGCTTTTTCCTTTTGTGCCCAATTTTTCCATTGTTTTTTAGCTCCGCTGCTTCCGAACCTCTACTTGTTAGCACAAAATAACGGTGTTATATCCTTGCTATTTCCTTTTTATACGTATTTGCAAGGAAAAAAACTCTATAAATATTTTTAGGGCTTTCTAAAAGATTTTTGTTTGCTTTGACATCCACGATCACCCTTCTGCCTAGTTGTTGAAAAACATAAGTGTTATTTTTCTTTCTGATACTCAACAATAATCTTTGCAGCTTGTATACGCTCTGGTACTGATAAACCATTATTAAGTGAATGAATACAAGGCAAATTTGATACAGGTATTTCTGATTCAGTCGTTATTAGTCGTTATTCTTAAAATATTTGGTAATTCATATACACGGAACGCTGATCATTTAAAATAGCTTGCTGTGATTACGAGGGCATCAGCCACTTTGTGTGATCCACTTTATCTGGACTAAATGGGCAAAACCCACATGTCTCGAAACCATTTCATAACGTGGATTTATTTCAATGCAGTAAAAGTGTTGCCAGTATAGGCCCGCATCTGTTTTAAAAGCCTTATTGCCATATTGTTTTGTCCGCCATTCGAAGACAGGTTTACACGACAAATCTTTGATGGGACGAAATGCAGTGATATCAGCTGGTTGCAATAGTCGCGTTGCATTCAGGTTAAGGACTATAAGTATTATGGCGAGACTTGGGCAAAGTTGCGCCAGCTCAAGATAGGCGTGGCTCTTATGACCATCTACAAAAATAATCACTGAAAAATGACATACTTTATTGTAGATCTAATACATAATTTATTGTAGGAAAATTTATTCCATAGCCTTATGGCCTCTGCGGCGAAAGACTGAGACATAAATTTAGTAAAGCGAAGAAAAACACATTTTTTTTTCTTATAGAATAGGGTGACAAACGAGCACACAGTCCATCTGATGGTAAGTGGTTACTGTGACCCATAGACATCTATATCTATCCTCAATAAAGACTCAAGATGCAGATGCGTTGTCACCCGTGAGGGCTAAGATGGAATGCCTCTTTTCCAGTAAAAAGGGTCTCCGGTTCTCTACACTCACCATACGAAACACAGCAGCGTTGAGCTGCTATTTTACGCTGGTTTTCTGTGAGAGCGTGGTCCTTCCCCGGTCGAGCCGACCCATTCGTGCTACAACTATACTACTTACATAGCTGCAGCATGGCTCTACCACTAATAAAGTTGGCAATATATAATATCATAAAGTAGTTCCCTCGGAGGATCTCAGGTTACGCTCGTGGGAAGAACCCAAATACTGAAACTTGCATTTCAGGTATTGGGGATTGGGGAGTGCATGGATCATATAGGATTGAAATAAGCGTGCGAAAAATTCTGATGCATCTGCGCTTATGGATAGGGAGCCATTAAAGCTTAGAACGATGATCGTATTTACGAAGGCCAAAAATAAAACGGATGCAATTATTTAACAAACGATTTAATTTGCACAGAAGTACTTGAATCACATCAGGGTAACGCACATCAGCATAATCAATCAGCAGCCCGGAGTCAAGATGTTGACGGTGTTTCGTCCCCGTGCCTTGGAAAGCTCGTGAAGCCGTTGGTCCCGCGCCTGATATCTTTCCAGTCGTATTAAATTTGGTACCCTCCCATTAGATTATGATAGCAAGAGAATAGAGTGTGAATCCGCGCTTGCACTTACTCTACACCATAATCCTGGTATACGTTGATGCACCTCGAGTGAAATTTGGTCTGTAGGACATTAATTGATAAGAATCCACTTCTAGAGATAAGGAAGAATCCATTTACTTTTTTAAGTTGTTTACATTATATATTAACATTAGTTAAAGGTTCTTTGTAATCAAACTTTAACTAAATGATTGTATGGTCTTTGTTACAGCATTGTGTTGTGAAACAGGTAAATTCTGTTTTTATTTAACACTATACGTATTAGGTTACAATCCCATATGATAAGAATTATAATAATATGTACACTTGTTAATGTACTGCGTTACAACCACAAAGACTCACGAGAGGAAACTACTGATCGCCAAAACTGACATTAAAATGTATGACATAGGGAAATACCACAGTATACTCTGTGAAACACTATCAGATGCTGCTCAAATGGCCTATCATTAATTAAGTATTGTATAAGTAATTAAATATTTTTTGTGCTATTTAGTTATAAGTTACAATGGGACTGGCATGTTAATAATAACGAAAATCCCTTAAATAAAAAAGAAAAAAAACCACAAAGGCTTTCTTGGCATAATGCTGAAGCAATGATAAGACTCCTTTTTTACCTGGGGGTCCCTCTGTTGTCTGTATTCTAGTCAGAAGGGTATAGAGAGCTAGTATGTAGTAGTAAGCTGTTATATTTATGAATTACAGGATGTAAGGCATTCCATCTTATACATCAAAAGTGCCAACGCATCTGTAAACCTCTTTGTTAGAAGTTGGTTCATAGGAGTCTTTGAGCTGCATGAGCCATTTACTCCATACTAAGAATCAAAATGTAGATGCGTTGTCACCTCTTGTGACAAATGTCTTTGATTCTCTACACTCACCATATGATGTATTTTGTGAATGATCAATTGGACAAATTAATGGAAGTGAATAATGAACAATGAATAATTAAGCTGCTATTTCACGCTTGCATTCCGTGAGTGTACTTCTTCCCTTGCTGAGTCGACCCATATATGTTGTAACCTAAAGCTGCCGGTAGCTCTACTACGTTAGGTCCACCTAACAGTCCACTGAAAGTTCGTATGTTAGTTCTATTTTCATAAATAAACTACAGAATAACAAATTCTGTCGGTAACTATTCACATGATTAAACTGTAAATAAATAAAATTAATTAATTTTCACATTACTCTGGAATATTATACCGCATTAATTATTAAAAAAAACTATTAAAAATAGTTCAGAAGAAAAATATACTCGTAGTATTAAAACTAGCATAATTGTGCACAGAAAAAACTATTTAAATTAACATCAGTGACTGTTAGTTTTGTCGGACGCCATTACAGAAATGGTGTGCTCAGACTGCGTTTAAAGTAATTGTTCATTAGCCTAACTACCACTTACTTATTTTGAATAAAGCAAAAGAACATTAACAAAAAAATATTAATAGATGTTTTGTGATGTTAGAATATTAGTAGATGCTTTATAATCTGTAATTTATATAAATGTGCTTTAATAATTAAGAAACTGATGCCCAATATTTTATTATTTATGGGCACATGAAGTCAGTCATCGTTGGTGCTGATATTGGATAAATCTTTGTGCAGTATTTGTTTTAACTACCGACCAAAACGTGTCAACTAATTTCACGACTTCATTCAAAATATATTTTATGAATACAAAGATAAATTTACTAGACTGCAAATATCCCAGTGTTATAATATTTTAGTAAAGGTTTACATGTACGGAGGTAATTAGATCGTAAATGACGGTTAAGTAATAACTTGTCATTTTTAACCATGATAAATAAAAGTTCAATTCACAGCCTGTATACGTCCCACATCTGGGCACAGCCCTCCTCTCATTTCTGAGGATATTAGGGTAAGAAAATGTCCGCCGCGATGCCCCAATGCGTGTTGGCGAACTTCATATGTCTGAGAAATATTTTTTTTCTTATTTCTTAAACATGCAGGTTTCCTCACGATATTTTCCTTCACTGCCGAGCACGTGGTAAATCAGCACTTAAAATTGCAATTAACAATTACATTGGTGCCGGCGGGTATCGAACCCGGGTTGCTCGCGTACTGTGAAAGTTACAGCGAGAGCTAACCATCGGAGCTACCACGGCTTTAATCATGATATACCGACGAAGTTGTATAATGGGTTATTTTACACCACAACTCCATTTTTTATCCTATTCCCATAATATCCTGATCTTTTCCGACTTATTCTCTTTATCTATTTCTTCTCGTCATTTTTCTTTACTTGCGATGATGGTAGTATAGCCATTAGGCTAGCTTGTCTAAACACCGTGTATGACTACGGACAGCAGCATAACTTGAGTAAAATGCCCAGCACTCTTATCCAAAAGCCATTCTTAAGTGGAGGTCGTCGTTCAATATTAGACCTTATGGTACAACTTTAAAGAAATACATTATAGTTTTTTTTTATGAATGGTTATTATTTTAAAGTTTATGTTAAAGTAATTTGATTTCTCAATAAATTTTGATAGTTATTATATGACAAAAATATATTAAAAATATGACAATTAACAAATTTCAAAATTGCTTATATACTTAATGGTTATTTAAAATAATTTAGAAATTAATTTTGAATATGTGTAATAAATTTGACGAAATATAATTTATACTAGAAAATAGCCGACTAATGAAAATATTTTGTGTAAATGTTATAACTATTACTAATTTATATAAAAACGATGGGAAATAAACAGGCATTATTATAAAAATACATAATATTCTCATCTGGTTGGTATGTATAAAATAATAAATAATATAAAATTAAATATTTTATATTGAATGGATTACTATACCTCCATTCAATACATAGAAAAATATTTCCTTTTTTCCTTCTCAATATTTACATGTATTTGTTGGTGAATGTTATGTACACTTATTACTGATATACATATCAGTGAGCGTGTAACTTTTTATATAATTTAGTGTGTTATTGTTTATTATGTATATTGTAAATGTGCTTATGAAATAAATAAAAAATTTAATAAAATAATAGTATATCAGTGCTTCACTTCTATTAGATCCGATGTAGCCGAATATGATAAAATACTCTGACTCAATCTTACTTTTTCATTACATCGAAACCTCCCTTTTGTTGACAACATCTATCAAAATATTAGCTCACAGAGATTGGTTCTCTTTCAGATGTTAAGATACTTTTGATCCCGCACACGGCCCACAATTTCGATTCAGCAAACAAGAAAATTTTAATTCCAATACCTATGAAGCGTAAATTATGTGCGACACCGCATTTCAATTGTGAAGACGTAATGGAGGAGCTCAATGTGGTAAACATTTAGCTGTACATTTATTTTATTTGATATTATTTTATGAGAGGAGATAGGTCAAAAACCGACCACCGATGGAAAGAAAGCTTCTCGATTGGCAGCATACCGGTAAATAGACCCACTGGACAGATTGACGATGTGCAGAAAGTCGATGGATGCAGGATTCTCAAGACCGTGTTTTCTTGTATTCCTTGAGGCAGGTTTATGTTTAGCATTGAACTTGTGAAAGGCTGTAATGGTAGCAATGATGATGATTACGGGGACAGTAAGAAGAATTTTAAGGACAGTGGTGTAATGGAATGAGTTTAAGGACTAGAAAACTAACAAGTCAAATCTTTATACATGGTAGAGCCATGCTGCAGCTATATTAGTAGTATAGTTGCAGCACGAATGACAACTCGACAAGAAAGGACCTCGCTCTCACAGAATATCAGCGTAAAATAGCAGCTTAACACTGCTGTGTTTCGTATGGTGAGTGTAGAGAACCGGAGACTCTTTTTACTGGAAAAGAGGCATTCCATCTTAGTCCTTACGCATCTGCATTTTGATTCGCCAACGAGGATAGATGTAGATATCTATGGGTCACAGCAACCTCTTACAATCAGGGGGACTGTGTGCTCGTTTGTCATCCTATCCTATAAAAAACCACCATTTGACTACTGATATGTACTTTATCCGTGCCTTTATAGATATTTCTTATATCCATATTGATCTTTCTCGGAGATATTGAGACAGAGTGAATAGTATTGATTCGATTTTGCGTTAATTTAAAGTATATATAAAATCTTATGTAGAAAGGATATTATAAATTAGATAATCATTAAAATGATACTTTACTATTTTTACTTATGTTTTTTTTTGTTGCCGTTTTTTCGTTGTTAATATTTCTGTTTATAAAATACAATTGTACAACGGCTTCTAAGCCCCCTACCACGACAAGGTATGAATCCATTTTTGAAAGTACCTAATGCACATACAGACTAAAGAAAATTCTGGACACAGTAGGTATATTATGCAATGTAATTAGTCCTGCCCATTTAAACATTTCGGAATGAAAATATTTACTATTATTTGTAGGTCGGCAGAGCATCGTTTGTTAATCGATAGGGAAGGCTGGGGGTCCCACATGCAGGGTTAGGTTAGGTGAGATGATTTACATCTTACACACCATGTGTGTATTAATACGACGAAAGAAATTAATCGCTCCGATAGTTGTTCTGCCCTTTCCGTTAGGTTGTGCGATGTGTTTCTCTCTGAAATCACTCAACACTTATTACAGTGTAACAACTTAAACTTTATTCTTAAATCGACCACTTATGGAATTCAAATTTTGAGATTCAAATTTTTGGCACTAAATTACCATATTATATATTGCAAATATAAGTCATTTTGAACCTTAAATATAGAATTTGTTAATAACTAAAGCATCACCTATCGAATCCTAACATAGTTATGAACCATCGTCTCGACAAAACAAATAATATATTGTGTGAATATGACCTCGATGGGTTGTTCAAGAGTTAATAATAATGTCCCCCAGACCGAGTTTCGGTCATGGTGGCCAGTCATATCGGAGATTAGCTATCTGCGCAGGAGAGGATTATATTGTACGGATTTTTACGCAAACACAAGTGCACTCTTTATTCCTTCACTTCCATAGTCCGGAAAGAGATCAAGCGCAGGACCCACGGATTTACGTGCTTTCCGAGGCACGGGGTGAAACACTGCCAACTGTCTCCGGGCTGCTACTATTTGTAATTTCTTACTAGAAAAACCCAGTAACTGATTTTGACCCGATCTCGGATGATAAGATGGAATGTCTCGTTTCCAGTAAAAAGGGTCTCCGATTCTCTACACCGACCATACGAAACACAGCAGCGTTAAACTGCTATTTTACGCTGGTATTCTGTGAGAGTGTGGTCCTCCCCCGGTCAAGCCGACCCATTCGTGTTACAACTATATAGCTGCAGCATTGGTCTACCACGTTTAAAATATTAATAATACTATATTAATAAATTATTATCATTTACAGACAACTCTATCCCAACGAAAGGAATCTGTTGCTCCGCTCACAGGTGACAGGGACGGAGGAATTTTTCGGAACGGGTTTTCATACCCCCTAGCCGTCGTGCTAAGACTTCGTGTATTGCAGGTTTTTAGTTATTTTTTCATGATAATATATGTATAAAAGAACAAGATGGTAATATTCCTTTTCTACCTGGGAGTCCGTCTAGGTAGGTACTACCTTCTATCAGCTTTATATTATTGTTGAGGAATTTTGTAATTTATATATACATTTATAATACACACACACACACACATATATATATATATATATATATATATATATATATATATATATATATATATATATATATATATATATATATGTATTATATGTTTTACTTTATCTTTTATTATGTATTAGTCATTAATATTATTTCACGTGTTAGTTATTTATATGTTGTTTTATTGCATTTATTATCTATATATCGCATATATTGATATAATAATATGTTGAATATTTATATTGCACCACCTACCACCTACATTTTCATTGTTTTATTCCTTTACAGCTATGGTTGCCTGAAAGAGATCGCTATGTAGCGATAAGGCCGCCAAATTCTACATAATATAATCTGATTTTTGTTATGTCATTTGTATATTTATTCGTCTCTTTACTGTGACTGTAAAGCCTGTGTGCGGGTAGGGCATGACCTGTCACCCATGTTTAGCGTCCAAACGGGCGTAAAACAGGGTTGTGTCATGTCTTCCTGGCTGTTCATACTGTATCTCGACAGCTGTTTACAAAAGCTGAAAGATAGCTGTTTGGGTGTGAAATTGGGTGACATAAAAGTAAATTGTCTGCTGTATGCTGATGATGCAGTGCTTATTGCACCATCAGAGGCAGAACTGCAGGCATTAGTCACGTGTATGAAAGAGGAATGTGAAATTAAAGGTCTCCGTTTGAATGCTAATAAAACTAAGGTTCTGGTATTTGAAAGGGACGAAGAGAGAACGAAGTGTGAAATATGGGTAAATCAGGAATGTCTAGAACAGGTAAATGAAATTGTATACTTGGGGAGTGCTTTTAGCCGGGATGGAAGATGTGATTTAGATGTGGACAGGCGTGTCGCTGCCGGGAACAAAGTCAATGGTGCCCTGACTGCGTTAGTCAAAAGGCAAGGCGTAGCGAAGAGTGCACGCCTTGCAATACATAACGCAGTGTTGGTACCGACTTTGTTATATGGCAGCGAAACCTGGGTATGCCAGAAGAAGCATAAAAGTAAGTTGAATGCAGTGGAGATGCGATCTCTTCGTAAAATGTGCGGCGTTACTATTGCCGACCGAAAGCGAAACGAAGAGATTCGCAATATGGCAGGTTTGAAAGATGACCTTATCACAAAAATTGATAAGGGCGTGCTTCGGTGGTTTGGGCACGTTGAGCGAATGAGTGAAGACCGAATGGTGAAGAAAATATATAGCGCGAAAGTTAATATTAAAAGGTGTCGAGGTAGACCGAGACTAACTTTCGAAGACCATGTGAGCAAATTGCTCGAAGAGGGTAGGGTCAAGAGTACTCGGATACCTAGACGTGCATGTATGAAGACGATAATGAATCTGAAAGAAGCGAAAGAGATATGTAAGGATCGTGACACTTGGCGATCTGTTCTCTCTGGCTACCCCGTCAGGGATTGTGCGTGAAGATAAGTAAGTAAGTAAGTATATTTATTCGTGGTGTACAATAAAAGTATACTCATTCATCATTCATTCATTCATTCATTCATTCATACCTTCTTAAGTAAATTTAAGTCAAATAGCAGTACTTGCACTACTGTGTTCCGGTATTATGGATAAAGAGAGCCTGTATAATTACAGACTGATAGGCATTCCATCTTATTACTCAGAGTTGACGCATCTATAGCCATCTTGGTTTGAAGTGGGCTGCTGGTGTCCATGGACTGCAGTAGCTACTTAACATCAGGTGAGCCACTACTACCACTCTAAGTAAGATTTAATAAAAAAACACATGCGTGAGTGTCGTGGAACACTAGGTTGGAACGAAGTTCCTTTCGTAGAATATTATTATTACTATTAAAATGAAGCGTCATTTAAAATAATATTTTTTTCATGGCAAGAAAAAGTGTGAGGGAGATGGATAGTATTCCATCTCGCTCGCACTAAGGAAAAGCGGTCGTGACGGAATAATCTAACACATTTTCTCGCCTAGCTCCCATCCGTCAAATTCGTAAAGAACTTCTTTCCAATAAAGTATGACCTGTGGTGGTAGCTTTCGCAAAAGTCTACTGTTGGATATAAGTCTTTCGTTGAATGGAGAATTCGGCATAATTGCCACGCTCAGCAGGCGCATAAACGATTGCAATATCTCGCACTTTTGTCACTATTACTTGTCGTCTAACAACCACATGTTTTAAAGTTGACAAAAAATAACTTTGCGTACATCCGCTCGATAAAATTAAATGATGTGTCTTACCTACTTTGAAGAGCATCTCACGCCCTCCCTCAATTGCGTGCACTATCCCCGTCACTACTAATCCCAGCACCACTACTCCCAACACCACTACACTAGGAAAGACACACCACTGACGACAATACGACACGTGTTTCGCCTCTACACGAGGCATCCTCAGGTGATATAGACTCTACGGTGGCTAATCGTTAATTCAGCTTAGCTTAGCTAGTAATTTTTGTCAACTTTAATATAATGGACTTCCGCAAAGTAACACCTGATTCTATTAATTAATAACCACGTTTCACATCTGGCGAAAATGGCACTGAACCTCTATTTTTTTGAAAGTGACATTTCTTATGACACACCTTACGACACCCACAGGAAGAAATAGGGTAGTGGATTTACACACAAGCACGGCAATAATATTCATAATTTTTTTATAGAATTAAGGCTGACAAAAAAGCACACAGTCCAGTAAGTGGGTACTGTGGTCCATATAGATCGACACATATCCTTATTTCAAATTCTCTATAATTTTTGTTTTCTTGCAGATAGTCTGCGGGATATCAGCGATGGTGATGGGTAGCGTAGCGTTTATAGAGGAACGTCAAAAATTTAATATGGGTCTGGGAATACCGGCTGGTTGTTTCAGTGTTATAGCTGCAGGTAAAAAAAAATTGACAGGTAGGGTTAAAAAATAAGTACTTTTTTGGGCAATCAGATCATGCTGTGCCAAACTACACGTTTGGCACAGCATGCTGTGCCAAACGTGTACGCACAAACACGAAGCCAATCATTTATCTACACGTATTTTGTGTGTGATGTAATGCTTTACAATAAGGTAGAAAGGCCGTTCAAATACGATATCAAAGACGTACTTATACACAAAATAACGATTTGCGTATTGGAACAAATATTGGCTCGATCGCAAAGTCAAAGGACTTACTATTTAAGAAGTACTATAGCAACCAAATTATAGAATATACCATATTAAATACTGTGTTAAAAATTCTCTAATATTTTTAAGTAATTACGTACGTACGTTTACGTACACCTAAAAAGGGTCTTCGGTTCATAGCGGATATGCACATCACATACGAATCATAGTAGCATTATGTTGCTATTTACTCTGGTAGGATTTTGACTGTATAGTCTGTAAATGAAAAATATTTGTACTAATATAAATGAAACGTAATGGTGGATATATATAAATTTACATTGTTTGTTCCGTGCGATCAGAAAAAATTGACCTGGATGAAAAATATTGTCTGTTTTATTTCTAGCTGTATCAATACATACAACGCGAGGTTGGAGTGCAATGACTGGAACGATGGTTGGGGCGGGAGCGGCGAGCGTTCTCTGGGCGGCCGCGGGTTGTTTGCTCGTCGCTCTAATTGTGCAATGCTGTAGAACAATTTTATATCCAACGGGCGCTGATTACGAGTAAATTTAAATTTAAATCCACTACTTTTATAAAACCTCGTTTAAATCACACATAAAAATAGATGATCAAATAAGAGTTAACGATTTGCTTATCTAACTAGTTAAGATAGCAATTTCGACTTCTTCGTCCGCCACTAAAAGACTACAGCTGGACATCGGTATTAACGCTCAATTTACCACAGTTGCCTCTAATGGCATATACGGGACGAAAGGGGATGATGGAATTTCTTATAGTGGAACCTAAAAACAGTAGTGCTTACTGCCGGAAATAGTTAAATGTTCAAATGGTTTTGGAAAAATTATCTCAGATTTATAGAGACGAGTATAAAAAAATAATAATAAAATTTTTTTTCGAGGTTTTCCTAGTTATATTGGCGCAATTAGCCGATATTTTTTAATTTTCTACCGACTACAAGAAGGAGGAGAAATTGGACTGTATGTTTTTTTATGTTTGTTATCTCATAACTTTTTTCTGAGGGAACCGATTTCGATGATTCTTTATTATTTGAAAGCTCGTGCTTCTCAACTACTAGTTTTTGAGTGAATTCATAGAGTTATTCTTAACAATTTATATTGGAGTCAGTTGTAAGTCGGTTGTACTTTTGAATTTTAAATTATTTCTGTTATATTACTCGATTATCGACATTATTAGGAACATTTTTCATTATTTGCCTAATAGCAAAAATGGGTCCTTTATTCGATAACGCGAATAATTTACAGTCATAAATTTTGAAATAAGAAACTATATCATTAGATTACAATTGTCTGATTTTTTATTTCTTAATTAATGATCGTAATATTATATTATTTTTGTTGGTTGTGGTACATAATGAATTATAATTTAAGCCCCTCTAAATCTCTAGGTTTTTTTTACAGAAAATACGAAAATTTGCTTTGTTCGAGATCACTTTATGCATGATATTACTAATTACCGTATATTGTAGTATCCTTTAGTGTCCGCCATATTGAACCCCAAAGTCAGAGACGCGGCATCTTTAGTGTACTAGTGGTGATATCAAAATATGTCATTGTTACTTACTACGTTATATAAAGATTATAAACTAACTCATTGTTATTTTATATCAGTGATGGGTTGCTGGACGAGGATTCAAGACCATCATCGCGGGATTTAGTCGTGATAGCCTGTGTACAGATCGCTTTAGCCGCCATTACACTCCTCAGTGCAGCTGTTTGCGCGCGTATTGATTGTGGGGCATGACGCGAGCCTCCTCTCACGCGTCGCCGCGTGAGCGAGGCTCCGGTCTCCGCCAACGTGTCCGCTCCACTTGACAACATGTCCCAGCCTAATGAGGAAAGGGAAAAGGGCGGGCGCGTGGCTTGGCTTATATAAACATAACGTATTATACTAATCATACCATTGTCCGCCTGCCTCACGTAGTAAGTCCCACATGAGACTCTTGTTGTTTGTGAAACTTCGATCATATCTACTGTCGTGAAGAGTGTAGATGTAAATATTAGCAATGTAGAATATCATTTAAATAAATTATAATATTTTAATCACTTGGAAATAATTGGATTGTTTACTATTTAAATTTTGGTCCGACACTAACTAATAGTAGTTTTGTATAAAAATTCAACGATTTTTTATTGTAATGTAGAATTTAAATCCCAATGTAAGAATAATAAATACTTAGTAAGTAATAATAGTATATGTAATGAATATTTTTCCATAATAAAAAAAAATACTAATTACTATATTATCTTATTTATTCCTTTTTTATACATATTTATTACTTCTGTAAGTTCATTACTTTGAACAAATCGTATGTTATTATACGAATATTATAATTTCGTAAATATAAATAAAAATAAAATAACAATAATATACATACAGACATATTTTTGGAACGAAGTTACTTATCGCACGGTACGAATTTGACGGATGAGGGCTAGGCGAGGAGAAGTGTAAGATTTTTCCGTCACGACCCCTTTTCTATGGTGCGAGCGAGATATCCATCAATATCTTATCTTGCCATGAAATAAATATTATTTTAAATGACGCTTCATTTTAATAGACGCTTTTCATTCATTTACTTGTATTTGTTAATCAATAATATAATACGATTATAAATAATATTCTAAGAAAGGAGCTTCGTTCCAACCGTGTGTTACACGACATTCACGCATGTTTTTTTTTCTCTAAATATTAAATTTAAAAAACTAAAAATAAAAACGAAAAAAAATCAGATACTGTGACTAATTTTTGCTATTGTTTCCATAAGTATATGTTTAGTAATATGTATCTAACTTACTGTAATAAAATTAAATTATTTAAAATTACTCAATATGTTTAATTTTTTAAAGGCATATTATAACTTCTTGCACTATTAGCACATCGACAATTTTGATGTGCTAATAGTGCAAGAAGTCATAATCGAACAATGTCTGAAGTTAATACCTGCGTAGAAAGTAATATAGTGCAATAAATAAGCGCACTAACATAGAGACACAAGCAATATTTGGGCTGCAGGACAAATATAATAAAAGAGGGATCGTTTTTTTTTTATAGAATAGCAACAAGTGAGCACAGTTCACCTGATGTCAAGTGGATGTTGTGGCCCATAGAGATCTACAGTTATTCTAGAATAAGAATTAAAAGTGCCGTGTAGTGGCGGTCAAGAATACCACTACCCCATATCCTCCCGTGGGTGTCGTAAAAGGCGACAAAGGGAAACAGGCAGGAGATGGGCAGCAGCATCTTCCTGATAATAGCCAAAATGACAATAAAAAACTGCGGTTGCCAACCCGCTCGCCAAGCGTGGCAACTATGGCAAATACCCCCCCTATGAATGTAACAAAGAGACGGCCCCCAGTCCCCGGCGGCCCCGCTATTCCTGGCTACGGTGGCGACCATGGTAACGGCGGGGCAGGGGGTGCTAAGAATCTCCGGTGGAGGTTCGGTTGCCACCTTAGACGACTCGACCTGGCAACGTACAACGCACGCACCCTGAGGACTGACGAGAAGATCGTGGAGCTGGAAGAAGAGATAGACAAGTTGCGCTGGCATATTATAGGATTATCCGAAGTCCGAAGAGAGGGGGAGGACACGGTAATCCTCGAATCCGGCAACTTGCTCTATCACCGGGAGGGCGACCATCTGTCCCAAGGAGGTGTCGGATTTATCGTCCACAAGTCTCTCGTTAACAACGTTGTAAAGATCGGGAGTGTGTCGACGAGGGTTGCGTACCTTATACTCAGAATCACCAAACGGGATTCGCTGAAGGTCATACAGGTTTACGCACCAACCTCGGCACACCCCGATGGGGAGGTGGAGGAAATGTATGAGGATATCTCTAGAGCCATGCATTCCTCCAAAACCCAATATACGGTGTTAATGGGAGACTTCAATGCAAAACTAGGCACAAGAGAGAACGGTGAGCTGAAAGTAGGGAAATTTGGAATAGGGCAACGGAACCCAAGGGGCCAGCAGCTGGCCGACTTCATGGAGAAAGAGGGACCCTTTATGATGAACTCTTTCTTCCAGAAGCGGCCCCACAGGAAGTGGACCTGGTCGAGCCCCGATGGTTCGACAAAAAATGAGATTGACTTCATTATGACGACCAGCCGACAACTGTTCAGTGATGTCTCCGTGATCGCGAGGGTGAAAACTGGTAGCGATCACCGAATGGTTATAGGCACACTGAACCTAAACGTTAAGTTGGAGAGGTCTCGTCTAATGAAGTCAACGCTCCGTCCCCCTCGTGCTCTGTTCCAAAGTCCTGAAACCTTTCAGCTCGAGTTACAAAACCGTTTTCAGTGCCTAGAAGACTGCAATGAAGTGGACGATATGAATGATAAGCTCGTGGAAACTGTCCATGCGGTCGGAGCTAAGTTCTGCAAGAACCGCCGCAGAAGAACACAAAAACTCTCCGATCACACTCTTAATCTCATGGCTGTTAGACGGGAGATGAAGCTACATTCTTCAACAGACTTGACAGCATACAGGCATCTGAACAGACAGATCTCCAAATGCATGCGGCGGGACTTACGCAACTTCAATACAGCTCGTATTGAAGAAGCGATCGAGCGGAACCAAGGCTCCAAAGTCTTTGCTAGAGATCTGTCTGCCAGAAAGAGCCACCTGTCAAAGCTGAAGACAGAATGTGGCAGCATCGTTTCCGGGACACCTGAGATTTTGAGTGAGATTGAGAGGTTCTATGGGCAGCTGTACACGTCATCGTTGGAGCCACACGCAAGTGTGAGTAACGATACAAGAGCGAGTCTCATCCGACACTATTCCGAAGATATCCCGGACGTCAGTCTGAGCGAGATTAGAATGGCTCTCCAGCACCTTAAAAACGGTAAGGCCCCAGGCGAGGATGGCATTACAGCAGAGCTTCTGAAAGCGGGTGGAAGACCGGTACTTGAAGTCCTTCAGAAGCTCTTTAATTCCGTCCTCCATGGTGGCTTTACACCGGAGGCGTGGAGCAGAAGTGCGGTGGTCTTGTTCTTCAAGAAAGGTGACAACGCTCTCTTGAAGAACTACAGACCGATTTCCCTTCTGAGGCGCGTCTACGTGCTGTTTTCGAGAGTCATTACGAATCGTCTCGCGCGCAGACTTGACGACTTCCAGCCTCCCGAACAAGCCGGTTTCCGAAAGGGTTTTAGCACCATAGACCACATACATACCCTTCGGCAAATTGTACAGAAGTCCGAAGAGTACAATTTGCCACTATGTCTGGCGTATGTGGATTATGAGAAAGCCTTTGATTCCGTCGAAATTTGGGCGGTGCTGCAGTCCCTTCAGCGATGCCAAGTTGACTGTCGGTATATCGAAGTGTTGAAGTGCTTGTACAGTAGGGCTACGATGGCTATCCGAGTACAGAACCAGAGTACGAAACCTATCCAATTGCAGAGAGGTGTAAGACAGGGTGACGTCATATCCCCGAAACTCTTCACCGCTGCATTGGAAGACGTTTTCAAGCTTCTGGACTGGAAAGGATACGGTATCAACATCAATGGCGAGTACATCACTCACCTTCGATTTGCCGACGATATAGTCCTTATGGCAGAATCGCTGGAGGACCTAAGCACTATGCTCAATGACCTCGATAGTGTTTCCCAACGGATAGGTCTTAAGATGAACATGGACAAAACAAAGATCATGTTCAATGTCCATGTCACACCTATGCCGGTAGTTGTTGGGAGCACTAAGCTCGAAGTTGTTGACGAGTATGTTTACCTGGGACAAATAGTCCGACTAGGTAAGTCCAACTTCGACCGAGAGGTCAATCGACGGATTCAACTCGGCTGGGCAGCGTTCGGGAAGCTACGACACATCTTCTCGTCAGACATACCTCAAAACCTGAAAACGAAATTGTACAACCAGTGCGTGTTGCCAGTGATGACTTATGGAACTGAGACGTGGTCCTTCACTGCTGGCCGTATGAGGAAGCTCAAGGTCGCTCAGCGAGCTATGGAGAGGGCAATGCTCGGAGTTTCTCTGCGTGATAAACTTAGGAATGAGGATATCCGCAGTAGAACCAGAGTAACCGACATAGCCCAACGGATTAGTAAGCTGAAGTGGCAGTGGGCCGGCCATATAGCTCGAAGAACCGACAACCGATGGGGAAGAAAGGTTCTCGAGTGGCAGCCTCGTACCGGTAGGCGAAGTGTAGGGCGTCCCCCCACGAGATGGAGTGACGACCTGGTAAGACATGCAGGAAGTCGATGGATGCAGGTGGCTCAGGACCGTGCTTTGTGGCATTCTTTGGGGGAGGCCTATGTTCAGCAGTGGACTTGTGAAGGGCTGTAATGATGATGAATGATGAAGAATTAAAATGCAGATGCGTTGTCACCCCTGAGAACTGGGATGGAATGCTTCGTTTCCAGTAAAATGGGTTTCCTGTTCTCTACACTCACCATACGAAACACAGCAGCGTTAAATTACAGTTTTAAACTGGTCTAATTTTATTATAGGAATGTGTTTCAATTTTGCAATTTTATATTTTATTTTAATTTTATTTTCTTCAGGATAACAAACAATTGTGTAATAAAACATAATACAGATACAGGTCTTATAAAAAGGGAAACCAAGTAATTACACAACCAGCACCGTTATCCACAAAGTAATATCACAATAAAAGTAATATTATAATGCACAGCAAAAATGTTGTATAATACCACAAGTAGATGAATAATTCGAGATTTCCCTGAGCTACTCCCAGCCAACACAACCACTATAGCGGCTATGCTAGC